TGGTATCTCCTTTGTAGTCATGACCCAGTGCTGACACAGGGGCCTCCTGCTTTGAGTTTATCAAAACACTTGTTACTTAAGTTTTATCCTGAAATTCCCTCTTCCTCCAAATCTTGTAAAATCCTGCCTTTTCTTTTTGGCCAGATAGTCCCTGTGCCTCTGCCGTGTGGATGCCCTGGTTGCAGTGTGTCCATAAACCTGTCACACCACAGCTTTGTTCCTGGTGGTCTTTGGTAACCAGTGTAAAAATACTATGGGCCACCACCCAAATCAGTGCATGCACAGAACTCTTCCTTACTTGTATTAGTACATTTTAGCAGGGTGTTTTCCTTCTGTATAAATATAGCTGTACCTGATTTTTCAGTTTGTTAGGAGTACAATTTTCAGCTCTGGTTTTTCAAATCACCCTAGAAAGTCTTCTTAATGCTGGTTAGTGTGGTTAATCCCTATTCCCATCCCAGCCATGTGCACACTGATCTGCTTTCTGCCCATAGATTTTTAGTTCGGCAGTTTTACCGTGTGCATACTTGTTTTTAAAACCTCTTTTTGTGCGTATGTTTTTTTCTAGGATGAAGGCTTAAGGCTCAGAAAGGTAGCACATTCGGATAAACCTGGATCCACCTCAGCTGCATCCTTCAGAGATAATGTCGCCAGTCCTCTTCCTTCCCTTCTTGTCGTAATTGCAGCCATTTTCATCGGGTTCTTTCTAGGGAAGTTCATCTTGTAGAGTGAAGCATGCAGAGTGCTATTTCTTTTTTTTTTCTCTTGACCAGAAAAAGATTTGTTTACCTACCATTTCACTGGTAGTATGGCCCACGGTGACCATTTTTTTTTTTTTTTTTTTTTTTTTTTTTTTTTTTTGTGTATACAGCGTCATATAGGCTTTGCCTTTAATGATCTCTTACGGTTAGAAAACACAATAAAACAAACTGTTCGGCTCCTGGACAAATTGTATATTACCAGATCATCACTAGCAGATGTCAGTTGCACATTCAGTCCTTTATGAAATTCATAAATAAAGAATTGTTCTTTCTTTGTGGTTTTAATAAGAGTTCAAGAATTGTTCAGAGTCTTGTAAATGTTATTTTAATAATCCCTTTAAATTTTATCTGTTGCTGTTACCTCTTGAAATATGATTTATTTAGATTGCTAATCCCACTCATTCAGGAAATGCCAAGAGGTATTCTGTGGGGAAATGGTGCCTCTTACAGTGTAAATTTTCTCCTTTACCTTTGCTAATATCATGGCAGAATTTTTCTTATCCCTTGTGAGGCAGTTGTTGACTGAGTTTTTCATCCTTACAATCCTGTCCCATGGTATTTAACATAAAAAAAAATAAAACTGTTAACAGATTCTTGCTCGATAGCTTGTTTGTGTGTCGTGTCATTAGGTGGGGATACCAGGGAGTCCACTGTGTGGTAATTTGAAGTTTATGATGCATAATTTTATCTTGTATTGAAACCCTTTCATATATTAACAGTATTTGTAGTTAAAAGTCCTCATTCTGTTAAGGAAAGGAATTGATAACATTTCAAGCTACTTTTGGTATTTTGGAAGATTACAGTCAGTTTGTCTTCAAGATAATATAAAATAAGGAAACCCATGAGAATAAAAATACTGTAATTTTAGTCAGTTTATATGTATGTGCCTTGTGGCTCTGTTGCATTTGATTTATCCCATTCTTAACAGTTTCTTCTAGTGTCTTCTCAAGGAAGACTAATTCTTCGTGGTTCTCGTCAAGTGCTTTTTAACCAGCCTAATAATTACTTTTATTTTAGGACATTTCATAGTAATAGTTAAAAGTAGCTGTTTTTCCTGTCCAGTCTGACATCAAGAGGAAATTTCTGTTACGGAAATTTGGAATTACTAAGCAAGCCTTGGGAATTTTCTTTGTGGAAAATGACTTTATCCTTTGCAAATCTACCTGTCAATGTGAAACACATTTTCAGTATAAATATGCATTTTAAGGTATGATACTTTCATGCACTTAGTCTTACGTATTCATTAATTTCACTTGTGCTAGCATAGAAAACTTTGGAACCAGAGACAGTATATTTGGGTTTTCTACTGAGTGCAGTCTGTCACGAGTGAGTCTTGATTCTTGCAAATATGTGTTAGTTTTGTAAAAGATGCACTTCTTTCTGAAAGGGCAATTGGACTTTGGGACTTGATGTGGTACAATGAAGTATGTTAGGCTCAGGTCTGTGTCTACATTTTATAAACGAGTGAAATGTTCCCTTGAAGTATTTTGGTTGGCCTTTTCATTTCAAGTATGTTTTGAATTTGTCAGGTCACATGTATTGTGTCATTGTGCTCTGTGGTATCTTTTAGAAAACCTCTTGCTTGTGTGCAAAAGTTACTAAAAACACAAGTAATGCCTGTCCATCACTAGCATGCTACTACAGGTAATGTTTCCATTGTTGTTCCAACCCTTTATAGTCACTGTAAAATTTCCCTCCCTTTCTGATAACTGGAAAAGCATGCTCACGAAACGTGTTGCATTTTGTCCCATACATGCAGAATCCGTACTTCCATGGCTTAAAGCTCTCTATGTAATCAGCATTATTGGTGATAAGTACCAAGCTTAATATTTCATAGGTATAATTTTTTTTAAAATTTAAGTTCTCAAAAATTTAGCAAAATCGCGTTTTATGGGAATACTTCTTAGAACTCATTTATTTCAGCCCCTTTGTTTTATAGTCATGGAATCTGAGGCCTTTCTGAGAATCCAGGGAACTTGTCCTGTGTCTCACATGTAGGTAGAGGCAGGCTGGAACTAGAAATCTGCTCTCCTGACTCTAGTGTCTTTTCTGGTAACTTTGCAGAAAGAAATTTGTCCTAATTTGACATGACTGAAATTACAAACATAAGATGCTATTTGATAAACATATGTGAAATTTCCCATCATAAGATTGTATTCCAGGCTTCTGTTGAATAGTCTCATGTATATGTTTGGTTTTAGTGTTTTGGTTAGAAATCCCCCCCCCCCGGAATGAATACTGTGAAATAGAATGTATTTTTAGATAGGCATTTTACAGAAGGCATTCTGCAAAGGTTGATTCTGGGGTAGATTGTAGTCTGGGCAGCATCTGCAAAATAAAGTATACATGGGCTTTTTAACTGCTTTACATGTCGGGAGATGCTCTCGTTGTATAGAAGACTTAATTTCTACTCTTTTTAATTGCTGTATCAAATGTGATCAGATTATTTTACTACCAACAGTTACTTTGAAAGACTCCAACTGTATTAATTGACTGATAATATATAGATTAAATTGTTTGTCTTCACTCCTTACATGTTTAGAAATTTTTGCTTTGTCTGCCTGCTTGCTTGTGTATGTAAGCATGAGGGAAATCTGTTGCTAATATTGAAATCACAATCAAGTAACTAAGGCCTTAAGTTCATATGTGACGCTAAATGCACTACCTTATTTCATTCTTTCTATAACTAATGTACCTTAACTCTGCCCGTTCTTGTATTTACAAGAAACATATTTAAGAATTGTATTCTGAGTGTGTGGTTTGTTACCTCTAAAAAAAAAAAAAGCGATGACACTTGGAAAAAAAGTATGTGTTAATTTCAAAAAAAAAAAAAAAAATTCTGGTCAAACAAAGTATTTTTACTTTCTCCTTCAAGTATCTTAACTAAGAAGTTCTCTTAAAACTGATACTATCTGCTTTGGGGATGTCTTTTGGATTTTAATCATTCAAAATACACCACATTGAAAACCAAGTTTTATCAAGAGAAACACAAAGTTCTTACCAGGGTACTTTGAAAACATTCAAGTGATGATTTTCCTAGAGCTTTGCACATTCCTATTCATTGACTTTGGTGTGTGCATAGATTTTTAAAAATTAACCTTTATGAGAGGGAAAGATCAATGTTTACCGTGTGGAAAAAACAACCAACTAAGAAGGTAAATGATCTTTATTTTCTAGCTTTCAAAAGAACTCAAACTATTGCGTGAATAAATAAATTGTTTAAAGACGGGGTGAAGTGTCGTTTTCCTTTCCAAGAAACAAAAGAAAAAAAAGGGAATTTGATTTCAACAGATTATGATGGTTTGTATGTGTATGTTCTGTTACATAGTAATAGTCGGTCTCTCACTGGCACTTGAGTTCTGATGGCATATCGTCTTTTGCTTAATGACCTAGAGGTAAAGTACTTTTTAGTGGGAAGTGGGAACAGCTGGGTTTTTCAATTCTATGTTTGATAGCCCGCTGTTATTAGAAGCCATGCTCCTGGAGAGTTCTGTGCAGGAACAGTGGCCTCTTGGGATTGCTCAGCCTGATGGAGGTTGGTGTGAAGAAGTTTGAACATCTATCCTTAAAAAAAGGAAATTTTATCTTCCTACGTTTCTGACTATAGAAATAATATATTCATTTTAGGGAATTTGGAAAATAAATTGTAAAAAGGTAAAAAGTCATGGCAAATCTTGCCATCCAGCAGCATCGATTTGTGTGAACATTTATTTCCCTGTAGTATTAATTAAGCCCTTTAGGCATAATCATCATACATACAACTTTGTATCCCATACTTTCCCTCAATCATTTCTCTGTAGTGTATTGAAAACCAAGTAGAAGTGATTGCAAAATTGCTTTATGTTTACAATCACGTTCTTGGCCATAAGGTTATGAACATTTTATGTATGATGGAAAGCTTGATTGGTCAGGTGGGTTCCCTTTCTAGTTAGGCACATCCTCCTACTTACCTCATTTCTTTTGTTGTAGAACTCGGTTTCTTATTTGCCAGTTCCTTTGTATTAACACCCATCTTGAAAGAAGGTGCAGGGAACTGTTAAGAGAACTATTCATTCTGTTTTTAGCATTGGTATTCAGCTCCAGTAGTACATTAACTCATGTGAGAAGCTTAAGAAAATAAAGATACTGATGCTTGAACAGTACGTCCAGTGATAGATAATTGGCCTGGAGTGGTGACCTGGCATGGTCATTTGTTTTTAGCTCTAGTCATTTTAATCTGCAACCAGACAACTGCTTTACATAGGCTTTTAAATGCCAAAACCAGATACAAATTAAGTTTATGTGAGACTTAAGTCTTACAGTATGGGGAAATTGCATTTTCAGCATTCTTTGTATATTAATCTTAAAAAAGTAAGTTGCAGGAGTCACCTTTAGGTATTGCTTAATTCCAGAGCTATGTGTAAAAGTTAAGATTGTTAAAACACAAGCAAATAAATGTTTTGTAGATAAATGGGAGCCATCTGCAAAAGTGAGAAATTTTATGGGATTCACTTTTAATTACCACTTTGCTGACAACCCAAGTGATTATCTTTACTCACCTGAGAAATTTATTTTGCCTGTCAGATATTTCTCAAAGCATGAGATGGTTTTCAAGGTTCCTACAAGTATGTGCCAGGTATTTTATGTCAACTCATTTAATTGTCACTCAGATCCTTATTAGTGTGTTAAAGAAGGGTTATGTAACCAAGGCTGGAGTGGTCCTTTAAGATTTAACCATTATAGCCGTGCCTGGGTGTCTCAGTCGGTTAAGCGCCCCAACTTTGGCTTAGGTTGTGATCTCGTGGTCCATGGGGTTTGAACCCCACGTTGGGCTCTGTGCTGACAGCTCAGAGCCTGAAGCCTGCCTTTGGATTCTGTGTCTCCCTCTCTCTCTGCCCCTCCTCTGCTCATGCTCTGTTTCTCTCTCTCAAAAATAAACATTAAAAAAAAAAAAAAAGGTTTAATCATTAAAGTATCTGAATTTTGACATCATGGTGTAAATTCTTAATACTGTTCTACAAGGAACAAAGGGTGCCAAGTAATGCAGATATTGAGGAAAAATACACATTTTTTTGAGGGAGAGAAGTTACACCTAAATTCTAAGAAAGTGTTACGGAGAGTTGAAATTGTAAATGATTGAAAACTACTTTACATACCTGAGCAATAAGAATTCCTCATTTTAGTACTTTATTGTTTCAAGGAGTAGAGGTCTGGTAGGAGTTACAGAAAGGTGTTAGTACGGTTTGGCGGGGGGGGGCGCCGCCAAACTTGGTTTTTGTGTGCTACGTTAATCTAAAAGTATATCCTTAAATGTGTAATATGTAGGTAAATATATGAGGGGTGTATCATGCCACTCTAAACTTAGGGAAATATTTCACTTGAGAAATTCCAACTTGTGAGAAAGCAAAGGAAAGTTTTGCAGAGTATTTCGATGCCTTTTGTTCACTATCAAGCAAGGTTTATAATTTTACTGAAGTAAACTTTAGATTTTCACTTAAAAGTTTAATGATCATATTTAATGATCATGTTTAATGTATCAGATAAGTGAATTGTCTCCTCAAGGGAAAAATGCTGTTGCATTTTGCGACTCCCGTGGAATTTGTCCTTTGGGGAATTTCATTGTATATGTTTTAATATATGTAAGAAACCATGATTTCTTAGATTTTACTGCAGTGAGGCAGTGTCTTAATAAGAACTGTAACGTTAATTGGGTAAAGTGGTTCTTTTGTAAGGCAAGTTGTGGGTGGAATGGGAATTTCAGGGGGTTGACTATATTGGAACATACGCCAGAAGTGCAAAAATTTGTGTGTTAATCATGTTTGCATAGCGATGTAGTAAGAGACTGCTCCTGTTACTGAGAACAAGTCTTGTGACATCTTTGCATTTAGTTGAGGTAATAAATGGTGTAAATGTTTCCAACAAATGGTGTTTTAAACTACTTCAATGTGTAAATAATCCTTCCCATCCAACTCTTGATCTCTTAACTCCAGAAAAGTACACTGCAGATGCCAATAGATCATGGGATTTTATGTTCATATAATGTGTTCCCCATCTTGTAGTGTGGGGATCGGAGGGGCTGTTGTGGCTGCAGAATGGTGTTACCTTTTGCTTTGATTTTACTGTTATCCTTATGAAGTTTTCCCCAGGTTTTGTTTTCCCATTTAGGTGTTTTTTTTTTTTTTTTTTTTTAAGGAGCAAGTCCTCAAAAATAGTAACTGAAATCTCCTTTATACCCTTCCCTGAGCACATTTTCCTTTGTCAGGCCACTAGCATGAGGTTTGTGTGTATCCTCCTTGTCCGTGCATAGATTTTACTACATATGTATGTAATAATCTGTTACGTAGTGTGTTTTGTCTGTTTTAAAATGTGACATAAGTGTTTTTTACTTAGAATATTTCTTATTCACCTAAAATTTCTTATTCGGAAGTCCCCACGCTTTGAAGTAGGGTATCCTCTTCATATACTTGTGTGTATACGTTCATGACCTAACTAACACACTCCACTCTATCAGCTTGGATCTGTGTTTCTGTTGCTGCTTATGCTACAATTGAAATTCTGACACTAATGCCTACCAAAGGCCTTGCCACTGCTGAAGCTGCTGGCCAGGGGACAGTTGGTGGGACAAATGTAGTCCTAACAGCTATCTGCTACTATGTGTTACTGTGTATGTACATATGCACACATAATTTCAGTTAAAAGATTCTTTTTTTAAGTTTATTTTTGAGAGCGAGCGCGCGAGCAGGGGAGGGGCAGAGAGAGAGGGAGACACAGAATCCGAAGCAGGCTCCAGGCTCCGAGCTGTCAGCGCAGAGCCCGACGCGGGGCTTGAACTCGTGAGCTGTGAGGTCGAGACTGAGCCACCCAGGCGCCCCCATAATTTTAGAAGTAAAACAAGCCTAAGGGAAAAGACGAGGTGCTCAAGTACACGTGGGAGATCGCATTACTGTGCATCTTGGCTGTTTGTACTTGGAGACTGCGTATGTGCGCGTGTGTGTTGTTAGGGGAGTGGTTTCTCTTGTACATTCCTAAAAATAGAAAGATGTCCCCCCCAAACCCTGGAATTCCTACTTCTCAGAAAAGACTTGGAGCACAGGACTTGCGTTCCCATGGGCAATAATTTGCCGGGGCCAAGTAGCAGTTCCACCTACAGGTCTCTCTTCTCGTGCTAGTGACCTGCACAAGCACTGTCTGCCTGAATATGTGACTCGGCTGAGATACTCCCTGCATAATACCGAATTCTTCCCCTGCCCTGCGCACTGGCGAGATTGCGAGTGGGATGTACAGTGGGATCTAGGGGGATCCTATGGTCAGGAGGCAAAAGAATACTTACCGACACTTGTACCTAGTCAACAGGTGTTTGGGCCCAGAATGCCCCCAAAACATGGTCAATTGGAACAGGCGTAAGGTTTGAGGAACAAGAAAAACTATTTTTATGGTGTACCTACTGTATCTCAGGTACTTTATTTACACTATCTCCTCTTCAGAACAACCTTTTAAACATTTTAACAGAGAAGAACTTGGAGAAATGAACTTGTCCGTTCAGTGGTGGTCGATTTCCCACCACTGGGCCCGCCCCTGTGCCATATGGCTTTTCAAAAAGGGAAATGATGCTGTGAACTAGTCTTCATGGCATTAATTCACTTACAAAGAGAGCTTGCTTCGGTCTTGGTCACTCTATTGGAAGTATAAAATACTGTTTCTGCTTTTGAAGATCTTGGCAAAGAATACACCTACAGCTCATTACACACTACACTAGTGGCCAGAGGGTGGGGTGTGGCAGCAACAAGCTTGCAGAATTTAAGGTATTTTGGAATTCAGACTCTTTATAGCTGGCCTTTCAGCCAGTTAACCTTGATTGATAGCTTTATAAGTGGTATTTATAGCATTATAGTTTCATATATTAAGCATGAGTAGCCTGGGAAGGAAGCATATGAAAGTGGCTAGGAGCACGGGATCTGGAGTGATGCTGTGTAAGGCTGTAATTTTGGCTTGGTCACTTTACTAGTTACGACCTTGGGCGTTTTATTTCTCTGTGCCTCAGCTTTCTCCTCCGTAAAGACAGGATACTAACCAGGCCTGCATCCCTGGGTGCGCAGGGAATACAAGAGGTGCGGCTCCTGGAGCAGAGGGTGGCACCAAGCTCAGCGAATGTCAGCAGTGACTGTTTACGTACACGTGAGGTGGGAAATTGGGCAGTTGTCGGACGGGTTATTTGCCTTAAAAATTAAACGAGGTATCCAGACAGCGGCTATTTGGCTTGGAATTTTGTTTTTGAACTTACTAACCAGTTCTGCAGTTGAAGGCATTATCTGGCCACATAGACGCAACGGACTTTTATCGAGCACCTGTGGGGAGCCAGCAGGAGAGACCGCGTGGGTTTCTGAGGATAGACAAACTTGGATTTGGATCTCAGTTGTGCCCTTGACGGGACATGTGCTCTTGAACAAAGTGATGGAACCTCTTCAAAGTGCAGCTTTGTCGCCAATGATGCCATCCGGTTTTCACCTTCCTCTTGTAACCTTGTAGGGTTGTGGTGAGGACTGTAAGACAGTTTGAAGAATGTAGCATAGTTTCTGGTACCTAATAAACATGGAAATTGCATTTTTACTCTGTCCTTCAATCACGTATCAAAACGATATGGCAAGAATTTACGAGTTTTTTTTTTTTAATTTCTTTTTTTTTTTTTTAAAGTTTATTTATTTTTGAGACAGAGAGAGACAGAGCATGAATGGGGGAGGAGCAGAGAGAGAGGGAGACACAGAATCGGAAGCAGGCTCCAGGCTCTGGGCCATCAGCCCAGAGCCCGATGCGGGGCTCAAACTCACGGACCGTGAGATCGTGACCTGAGCTGAAGTCGGACGCTTAACCGGCTGAGCCACCCAGGCGCCCCAAGAATTTACGAGTTTTAAGAGGTGCTTAATGATAATGGATGATGTTGAGTCAGAAAATGTAAAAACACTTTAAAATTTAAAAGAGGCTATTCTTGTAGGTAAGCAGCCTATGGGTGTCAAGTGTGATGCACATTTCTTTTTTCTGAATGTGAAGGTGACATTGATTCATTATAGAAGCTTGGAGATTATAGAAGAAATATATAGTAGGACAAACTTCAGGATCCCACTCCCCAGAGACAACTTGTTATTAACAGTTTTTTAAGTGTCTAGGTGAATATCAGATCTATGTAATGTTTTATTTAGTGTAAATATATATTAATAGTAGCAAAATCAACATGGATGCTTTTGTAAACCAATTGGCAATTAACTTAATTCACTTCTTACCTGGAAACAGTTTTTGAAATTGTTTAGTACAAAACCACCCATATACGCTTCAGGCAGTTTAACCAATTGTTAGCATTTTGCCCCACTTCCT